TAGTGTACTATACTCTAATATTAATATGTTCTTTATTTTCTGTAGAATATGACAGTAGTGTCCGTTACCCAGGACTGTACCCACTTTATCCCCAATTCCCACGGAGATATCCCGAATACCCTACATACCCCACTGTTAGACGTAAGTACTGCATGGACTGACTTCATTGGCATATATAATTTTAAATTTTAATCATGAGCATAATTTTAAATCATCCTGAGAGTCTAAGATGATGGATTCATGTAACTGTTGTCGAAAGTAAATGTATCAAACTCTCACTGAACATAAAAAATCAGTTCTTTCTCTTTTTTTGACAGGTGCATATAACTATGACCATGCATAATATTAATTAACGTTCCTGGAGACCTATCTGTTTACTGTTTTCCTTGCTTGCTGATATATTCATGAAACGTTCATGATTAATATTATTTAATATTTCTAGGTCATGAATTGTTCTCATGGTATGATTATACACATAAATAGCATTGAACATGAATTCTATTGTTTTATTTTTTATTTTACAGAATATTGAAAGCTGTGATTACACACATATCTGGATGGCGGAAGGTGAAAGAGCACAAAGAGTTGTATAATTCAGTGATCGAAAGAAGCTGAAATACAACAAAGCGCGTGCATCAGTTAACACCATCCAGAACCCCTAAACAAATCCAAAGTTTACCTAACCTGTTTACTGTTACATATGTTGTGTGATACCTTACTTGTGAGATTTGTGATCTCATTTATGTTGTGGAATTTGAACAAATAATTTTGCAAAATAAAATATTTTTGTATACAAATATTTTGAAGTTTTGACTATGATTTCTCGTCATATGGCGAAGGTTTAAATCTTTACAAGTGGGCTACAACAGTAATCAACGTGTCATTTTTGCAGCAGATATTAAAATAGAGTAATGACAATAGATTTCATACAAATGTTAGACAAAGTGCAATATGATATAAACTAAAAAGCCTAATTATCTGTAAGCCATATTTCGTCTGAGACTTTTATTCAACATTTTATCAATTGATCCTTGTACAGGATACAAATGCTCTTCTTTAGACTCTTA